TTTTTTGAGTGACTGGCCAAACACGTGTTGGTACAATAGGGATTTAAAGTGTTTGCAGTGGGATATACACACAACTGTTGGAAACAGCAGACAAAAGCATCATTTGGCTGGAGATCTGGAACACAGAGTTGTCTTTACTGCATTCTGAACAGGGCTGTGAGCTTTGCTGCTGTTTTTGCTGTTAATCCATTTTTTGTCAAAGGCAAAGATGAACTCCTATGCGCATATTATAAATAAAAATAGAGTAGGAAAGACTGTCGTGAATCGGTGTCAACTCATTTGTCTCCCACCAATGAATTAACCCATTCCCAAAATCCAAAGTCATCTTCACCTTTTGAAGGCTAGGACACAATTATTTTTCAGTTTACCAGTGATGGTGTACTTTTGTTTTAACAGCAGCAGCAACAGGGTGATAATAGCTTTCAATTAGATAAGACATTAGGCCAATAGCTTATGTTCCTTTGCCACTTGCTGTTGGAATGCAGGGCGGAGAGCTTTTTAAGGAGGCTTTGATCCCTAATCCCTTGAGCACCCATTAACTCTTACCCTTGAGTAGCCCCGCCTCCTGGTTAACTGGTTTAAAAAGCCTGTTCCATAGAGACCAGAGAAGCTAGTGAACAGGAGGAGCAGCTAACTGGAGTTTTGCGAGGGAGTTTAGAGAGGGAACAATAGAGCCAGATACACCTGATTTACATTCTCTAAACTTAGGCTAATAAACACACTCCCATGGGGGAGGTGGGGGAGAGGGGAAGCTGCAGGAGTAACTATAATGCAGGCACAGGTCCAGCAGCAGAGTGGGGGATATCCAGTTTATTGCACTGGATGCAGCATGGATGATTACCTGCCTTGTGGACAGGTGGCATATGTGTGCACTGAGTGAACACATGACATGGCCCTCAGAGACTGAATACAGGCTCTTGAGACCAGAGTGGCTGAACTGGATGAGCTAAGGGGGACAGAGATACATAGATGAGACTTTCCGGGGCACAGTAGAGCAGTCCCACTCTAACAGCCTCTGTGCTGTTGAGGATGAAGGTCTTTGGGAAGGAGAACATGAAACTAGAGTGGAGGGAAATGATCCCATATTCCATAAATGATTCCCATCCTTGACCAGGAGAACCACATGGTGAATTGCCTGCCTGGTGCAGAGGTGGCGGATCTCTTGAGACATCTAGACAGACTTATGTGTAGTGCTGGGGAGGCGCCGATGGTCATGGTACATGTAGGTACCAATGACATAGGGAAGGGTAGGAGAGAGGTTCTGGAGGCCAAATTTAAGCTGCTAGATAAAAGATTAAAGTCCAAGACCTCCATGGTAGCATTTTTTGAAATGCACAAAGCTAGTTAAGCAGAACCGCAGGATCTCAATGTGTGAATGAGACAATGGTGTAGAGAGAAGGGATTTATTAGGAATTAGGGAACCTTTTGGGAAAGGAGGAATCTATACAGGAACGATGGGCTCCACCTAAACCAAATGGAACCAGATTGCTGGCATGTAAAATTAAAAAGGTGGTAGGAGTTTTTAAACTAAGGGCTGGGGAAAGCCAATAGGTGCAGAGGAACATACGATTCAGACAGACATCCCTTAGCAGAGGTTCTATTAACAGGGATTCTCTCTAGATTAGTAAAGAGGAGAGGATAGAATTTGATAAAGTACAGGGAGGAACTAAAGAGAACAGTCAAATGAAAGAGTCCCATTCAATTACATCACATGAAGGCAGACAACTAAATATTGACAAATGTTGTAAGTGCTTGTGTACAAATGCTAGAAGTCTAAATACTGAGATGGGTGAACTTGAGTACCTGGTATTAATTGAGATTATTGAGCTAAGAGGCATCAGAGAAACTTGGTGGAACGATAA